TTGTTGGGGTTTTTGAAGGTTTGTCGAGATTCAATCGCATTGAATTCGTAGCGATATTGGAGACAAACTCATGCAATGCTATTCATACCATATTAGGGATACACTGAGTAAATTATTGTGTACTAGGTGCCTATCTACTTTTACTTATGGCTTATTATACTTTTAATTTGTGTTTTGTACTTCGCTTGCATATAAGCTGGCAGCCTATAGGTTTAGGCGCATTGTTTAGATGGTCTTATGTTACAATTATGTATTATCATCAAGGCATTATTTATGCTCAAAAGAAGGATTTGAAATGTGAAATGAAAGAAACTTAGGTAATAGTATCCATGATGTTGTTTAATTTAGTAACAATTACCTGTTTATTGCCAGTTACGATTGTTTGGTCCGGTGATTTCCATACTAAGTGCAGTTTCTTCCATGATCATTGTATTGGATGTATTAATCACCCCCTTTATGTCTTGAACCTATCAATGACCATATTCCTCCCAATAAAAGGGAGGGAGAAAATTATAACCTATTGGTAGATTGATTGTGTAGCAGTTGTAGCCCTTTCTGTTTTCGTGATTCTGTATGGTCATATAGCATTGTGGAATGATTTGGAGCATATTTATTTGACATGGAGGAATTTATCTGGCATGTCAAGTGACTCCATAGTTTATCCCTCTACTACTTAGCAATTATATATTTATTACTTTTCTTTCTTTGTCATCCTGAATTTCTCTATAGTTCCTTGACATTGTCACTAATGTGTTGATGCTTGTATTAGTCTAGCAAAATTTGTTCATTGTTGTGGTCATGATCTGTCTTTAACATTGATTTCATTTTTCCTATGTAGGGTCCTGTTGAAAAAACACCACCATCAGCTCCTGCTGCCCAACCCACCGAGTAAGATATTCTATCTTGTTAGTAGAGTTGTAATCAAATTCGGTTATTTAACTTGGGAATGACTTCTGCAAAAGCAAAAATATGTTAGCCAAAATCTGCATTATTATTGGTTGGAGAATCCGAACAGTAAGTTATATTCTTCATTATTATAAAATTGAAGCAACGATGCAGGAATGAAATGATGTAAGCCTTTCCAGCTGGTTTTTTCCCTTCCAAAATTAGTTCCTGAGTTGATTAGAAGAAATATTCAGCACGGTAATTGCAGTTATAATTCTGAGTTGAACGATATATTTTTTTGTACAAACTGAACTAACACTAAACAGTGAGATGTATCATAGTGCATTTGTTGTGTCCCACTTGATACTGTTCACATATGGTATCTATATCTGTGCCCTGCTATCTTCAATTGCTAAGGTCCATATACATATAATGTTTAGAAAGGAAAAGTACTATGACAAACATGTAAAGGCATGAAAGGTAGGATTTGTGTGTGATAAATCTTGGTGGGAGAATTAATATGACAGATATGTATGGATATTATATATATATATATATATTTGATATTATCCGAAGTGAATTGGTGCATGTCAAATCCTGGCAATATGAGTCTAGGTACATGTACTGAATTTGAAAGCATAAAGGCTAAGGATAGTTTTATTCTTCTGCAAGAGCTCTTTCCATCTCTAAACTTACCGTTATTTGCATATACTACTAATGAAATAACAAGTTATGGTGTTAGTATTAGTGAAATAAATGATTTAATGACTAAGTTCCTGGTGCAGACACCTTTTCATATTTTAGTCCGTAATCATAACCTTTTCAAGCGCACGCACATGTGTGTGTACATGCGTGAGTTAATGCTGGATATTAAAATTGATATAGTTCAACTGGTTAACACTGAAGTAAATTTCTTAGGTGTTGATTATGAATCAAGTTAATGTTTTTGAACTATATCTACCATTCTTTATAACAAGTTGTCTAATTTTTCGTTTTTAATTTGGTTGAAGATGAATTCATTTGAAGATTTTGCAAGCAATCTTAGTGTTGATGATATTGAAGCACTTGATGATGGAGATGATCTTATAGAGGCGTTGCTTTTGAATGATGAAGATGAGGATGAGTACATGTGGAACGAGATGATTACGAGCATCATTCATCAATCAAATGTGATGAAGCAGGTTCCTCGACCATGTCGAACTAGACCATTCTCTGGTCAAATGCTTGTAGAAGATATGTTGGCTAGACATCCTGATCGTTCATATTCTTGTTTTCGAATGAGTTCTGAGGCAATTCTTTTGCTTAAAAATGTTCTAATTGAGAAGAATGCTTTAAGGCCAACTAGATATTTAAGCTGCAATGAACAACTTTGTATATTTCTCTACGGAATTTCACATGCCCTTTCAAATCGAGTATTAGCTGAGATATTTCAACATTCAGGAGAGACTATTAGCAGGCATTATAATAACGTGCTTAATGCTATTTTATCTTTGAAACAAGATTAACTAAGTTAACCCTTCTCCTTAATCCCTCTTCCTTAACCCTTTGCCAAACGGTGCCTAAAAAGATACATACGTGAATTATTTTTATGGACCACATATTTGAAGAACTTGGTAGGTTTTTAGAGCTTGGTTAGTTTTTAATATTGTTAAACTTCTATCAAAGAATTATAAAATATTTGGATGATGCTAATTAATATCTGTGTCTCAGGAGACCACATGTGACCTTTATATTTGCGCATTTTCTCTCTTTCAGTGTACACGACCTTTTAAATTATCATAAAATTGCTTGATTTTATTAGAGGTGTAGCACATTTGCAAACATAGAATCATATGGTTCGGTATGTGAATTATAGTGTTTTTGTTAGGGGGATGTGAATTACTGTTAAAATTCTATATAGGAGATCCTAAGGAATGTTAGGGGAATAGTATAGCATCGTGAAAGTTTTTAAATTTAATATTTAATTTCTAAGGAAATTTTATAATAAGTTTGAAGAAATGGGAAATAGACCCGCCCAAGTTGGATTTAGAAAATAAGTAAAACTGTGATCAAATGTTCTAAAAAAATAAAATAAAAAATAAAAAAAACCAAAGGATTTGGAAAGTGAAGAAATTGGAAAAAATAGTTAAAATTAATTTTTCTCTCATCCCTCTTCACTTTCTAAAGATGACGTGGCTTTTTTAGTTCCTATTAATTTTCTAAGTGCCAAAAAAGAAAAAAGTAGAAAGTGAATCCACTTTCTAGATTTTAGCTCACTTTTTATTTACTTTTTGTTTGCTAAACACAAACACGTCCTTAGTGAAAGAGGAAATTGTTAGTAAGAGGTTTATCCCCGTTTACACTTAAAAGTTTGGAACAATATATCTGGGCGACTCGCCTGATTTGGACAGATGACTTGAAGAGCGAAGCCTGCTTGAGTTGCTGAGTTCGCCCGAGTGGGGAACTCAGCTGCCGGAGTGAGGCTCGCCTGAAATGTCAGGCTCACCTGGAACATTAAGTTCACCAGTTTTGAAAATTTTGCCAATGCAAGGGAACTCGCCTGAATAGGCATGCTCGCCTGATTGACTTGATCCGCCAAAACTAAAAACTTTTCATTCCTATCTGGCTCTTCTTAGATCTGAATAGTAATTCAGGCCATCATAGGAAGTGGAGGCTGGGGCTTCCTGGCGGACGAGAGCTTGTCGTCGCCATCGTTGGGCTCTTCTGGAGAGGGGGAGACTGATGTCGATAGCGAAGGCGTAGACCGTGATGACACGTACCACAGTCTCCTCTTACATGGGGGAATGCGTGGGTTGCTTGGGAACCTAACGAGCAGCCTTTTGGCTCGCTTGCTTGGCTTTCGGCTCAGCCTTAGCTGGCCTGGGGGAGACAGAACCCCCTGCTTTAGCCCGAGTAGAGCTCTCAGGCGTGGTTGCCTCGACTACTTAGGGCTGGGCCACACGCGTGATTCTGTAGCGCTTGCGTGATGTATGGCTACCAGAGGAGGAAGAAGACAAGTATTCTTCGTACTTGGCTTGATCGAACTCGATCATAAGGGACTCAATAGTAGCCCCTTCCACGACTTTGTCGAACTGCGCCACCACCAATTCATCTGAGTGAACGGTTTCTCCCACTGTGGTCACTATCTTCTGTTGGTGCGTAAAAGATTGACTTCTCGTTCAAGGGGGTCATTTGTGTTTATAAGAATGGCTTATTACAAACTACAATCAATGTTTACAACAGAGGAGGAGGGAATGGCCTTCCTTGTTTAATGTGGGTTCATTGGCAGTGGTGGGACGCCTCTCTCAGTGATCGTACCGAGTTCGCTTCCCTTGGACGATCCGATCAAAGTTGCGGTTGGAGCTTCAGTGCGCAGTAGAGGCTCCGGAGCGATTGAGTTCGACTATACCCGAGCTTGAAAAACCGTGAGCCTGGAGAGAGCTACGATGCAAGAGTTTGCAAAGAGTTGACGAGCCTCAAGTCTGAGAGTTCAAATTGAGTCTACTTCAACAATCTAGGCAAGGAGCTAAGAATGTTCTACCAAACAAGTGAGTCGAATGGAGGTTTCTGTTTGAAGAGCCTTGAGCATCAAAATCTCCAGCCTTTGTCCAACTTCTCAGCAGCCGGCCTCTTTCACGTTGGTGAAGATGGATTTAAATAGGCAAGGGATGGTAGGGGCCATCCCTTGATTTGTAGGATTTGATCACTAGTGGGTGAGGAGAACCATGCCCTCCCCTAGCTGTGGGATGTGACCACTATAGGGGAGGTGAGAGCCATGTATCATCATCACCCATGACATGGGAAGTGGGTAGGCCCACTCTCACAAGCAAGCAGCCCGTTTGCATAGCTCAGGTGAGGCTGACAAAGCTACGGGCAAGCTCGAGAGCTATCTAAATGCTCAGGCGAGCTTGCAGGCGAGCTTGGAGAACATGCGGTGTCGGCTGGCAGGCCTCTCCAATGTGTAAGCTGGTGTTCGTTGGCAAGCAGAGTTCATATGGTCGAACTCCCTGCAGGCGTGCTTGACTCGTGTGGGCGAACAAAACATTCAGGCGAGGCTGAACTCATACTGGTAAGCTTAATGATTTGACGAGCTTGATTCATGCGGGCGAGTCAAGCTAATAGGGGATGTTTGAGCTATGCGAGCGAGCTCAATAAACAAGGAGAGGTTGAATTCTACGAGCGAACTCAACAATTGGGAGTGGTCGAGCTCTACGAGCGAGCTCAATGAACAGGGGAGATTGAGCTCTGCGGGCGAGCTCAATAAACAGATGAAGTTGAGCTCTACTGGAAAGCTCAACAAACAGGCGGGGTTGAGCTCTACGGGCGAGCTCAATAAGGAGGCAAAGTTGAGCTCTACGAGAAAGCTCAACAAACAGGAGAACCTGAGCTCCATGGGCGAGCTCATCAGGGAGGTGATTGGGCTCTATGGGCGAGCTCAACAAATAGGTGAGGTTAAGCTCTACGGGAAAGCTCAATAAGGAGGCAAAGTTGAGCTCTACGGGCGAGCTTAACAAATAGGAGAAGCTGAGCTCTACGGGCGAGCTCATCAAGGAGGTGAGGTTGAACTCTACGGGCGAGCTCAACAAACAGGAGATGTTTGGCTCGTACTGGCGAGCAGAGCATGTTGGCGAGCTCGCTCATGCTTGCAGGCGAGCTTTGCTGGGCTCGCTGAATGCAGACGAGCCCAAGCTATTGGCAGACAAGACCAGACACTTAGATAATTTTCGCTGCCTACAGGGACACGATGAAGTCTGCACCCGTCGTGCTCCCAAATGATAAAGAAGATAAAGCACTCTAATCGACTCCTTCTATTCCTGAGGATGTAGAAGCTGAAGGGAAGTTGAGTGTTAGGGGTTTAGAGCCTGCCCCCTCGATGGGACCTATTGATGAAACGACCACGAGACAGGCCGTTTCTGGATCCGCTCCCACTGAATACGTAGGTTTAGTCTACCCGATCGCCCCTCCTCTGAGTTCAAAAGTCCTCAGGACACTCATTGAAGAGCTAGAGAATGCGATGAAATTAACAATCAATGTCGTTAGTCTCAGACAAGTTACTTTTGAGGATTTTGAGCCTCTCCTAACCAGCTCGTTAAACAGAATCAAGAGCCAGAGTGACGTGCTGTGGACCAAAAATTATAGAGAGAGCATCATCCTCATGGAAGCGGAATTGAGGACCTTTTTAGATTTACAGCGCACCGATTTGGAATCCGAAGTGGAGCAAGCTCTTTCTATGGCTCGCATCTCAAAAGTGCATCGTCAAGAGGCCATTCGCAAAGTTTATCTGAGAAAGAGGCCTACATGGCGATCTTACAGGAGCAACATACTAAAATGCAAATTGATTTGGGTAGTCTCGCTATTGGTATTTGTGACACTGAAGAAGTCGTTATTCAGCTAGAGACTGAACCAGCCCATAAGAAGGCCCAGTTGGCTCAAGATGCAAACATTATAAGAGGGCTTCAACTTCAAAGTGACGAAGTCTTTAAGAACTTTTGCAACGAACTACAAGTTTTTGAGGGAATTTGAAAAGAGATTGCTAATGCAGCGCCATTTGAAACAGAACTTAGAAGGGAAATTGCAGAACAAGTCCGAGCGGCTCTGAGAAGAAGTTGTTTGCGATTAAGTCCAAGCTCAAATCCCTCAAATTAATGAGCGCTGGTGCTTGAATCTTATATTGCTTTTAGCTGGGGGTAGGAATTCTTTTGTTTTGTATCATCTTCATGCCAAGTATTATCACTCTGTATCAAATTAACAATGTTGAATGAAAATGATATTGTAGTGCTTTTCATTGCCTTTTCCCTGTTTTTGATTTGGGACAATAAAAATATTAAAAATGTCATAGGTGTAATGTTAACTTAGCAGCGGTGAACTCATGAGGTTCCGACGTGCCCAGAGGCCAGAGGCGAATCTGTTCACGGTCCTACGGACCAACACCATTCGAAGGTGGATGGCTCGCCCCATCTCGAATCAGAAATTCTCTTTATTATCAATTGGAAATTTTCAATCGTCAGAGGTGTAATGTTAACTTGACGATATACAAGCTGAGGGAGGTTTAAAATGGTTTATTACTCTCCATTCTAATTAATTATGAGTAATCGACCCCCAGTCTAAATAAAATTGATGTTTTATCTTAGACTTTGCTGGGGAAATAAACATAATTTGTTACTCTCCCTTCAAATGAAACATGAATAACCAACCCCCGGCCTAGGGAAATTATCTCAGACCTGGCTGGGGATTTAGGAGAAGGGGACTTCATAGTTTACGGGTAATATTTCTTGAGAAATTTCACATTAATAGGCATCATAGTTAAATCTATTGATTTCTAGTTTGCCTTCATAAAACTCCTCAAATAGCATCATAATATCAATTTTCATAGTGTCCCAAAACACTTGAAAAAATAAAGCAGGGAAGCCATCAGGACCAGGAGATTTATCCCCATTCATGTTAAAAATAGCTTTATGGACTTCTTCCACCGAAAAAGGAAGTTCAATATCATTGAAGCCCCAATCTGATGTAGGGACCAATTTATTCCAATCCAGCTGACATCTATTAGGGACATTTTGACCATAAATCTGACTATAATGGTTAAAGAAAACTTGAGCAATACCATCTTCCGAACCTAATTCAACATCATTAAAAGTAATAGATGAAATCAGATTACTTCTTTTTCTTCCATTAGCAATTTTATGAAAGTATGCAGTGTTCTGATCACCTTCCTTGAGCCAATGAGCCTTAGCCCTTTGTTTCCACATTTGTTCTTCTTGAAATAAAATTTCATTACCTTCCTTGAGCCAATGAGCCTTAGCCCTTTGTTTCCACATTTGTTCTTCTTGAAATAAAATTTCATTTAACTGAGTAGAAACATTATTCTTTTTTAACAACTCATCATCTGTAAGATCTCTATCTTCCTCTAGCACCTCCCATTTCAAAAGATCTTCTAACAAATCTTTTTTTCTGTCTAACACTATAAAAATTTGAATGAACCCACTGCTTAATGCATTTCCTCACGAATCTTAATTTGCCAACCATATTTTTAGCTGCAGAAGTACATGAAGGAGCACATCTCCACCATATAGGAACACTCTTAATAAAATCTTCAGATTGTAACCAAATCTTCTTAAATTTGAATCTATATGTAAAGTGTTGATTATCTCCACAGTCAAAACTAATAGGAGCATGATCAGATAATTGACTGCATAAACCTTGCTGTTTTAAAAAGGGGAAAACATCCTCCTATTCAGAGTTGAAAAAAACTTTGTCAAGCCTAGCCATAGAGGGATATCTTCTTTTATTTGACCAAGTAAATTTTCTGCCATGTAAAAGGCTATCAATCAATTCTAAATCATTAAGAGTATCATTAAACTCTTCCATTTCCTTTCTATGAATGCATTTACCTTTTCTATCATTAGGATTTGAAGTAACATTAAAATCCCCCACCACAACCCAAGGACCTAGGAAATTATCTTTAACAATTTTAAGCTCCTGCCAAAAAATTTGTCTCTCACTATTACAATGTGGTCCATAGACTGAAGAAACAGTCCAGATAAACTCATTTTTTTTATTTTGTAGAACCACTGATAACACATATTTGTCAGATTTCTCCTGCAAACTCCTCCATTTAAGAGTATTCCATCCAACCAAAATTCCACCAGAAGCTCCCTCAGCAGGCACAAAAGCCCAATCAAACATATTACCCCCTAAACTTAAGAACACTATTAGAAAAACAATTCAATTTGGTTTCCTATAAACAAATAACCTCAAATTTGTTCAAGTGACAAAAATCCTTAACCCCAAATCTTTTAGAATTCAATCCTAATCCTCTCACATTCCATGTAATCAACATATCAATATAAGCAATCCCCCACAAAGGAAATATATCCAGAGCCTACACATTGGTAGCTCTTTCAAACTCCATCTGCCTTACTTTTTTTAGAGGATCAAAATCCTCTTGAGGCTTAAGAACAATAGCACATTTAGAAGCAAACTTCTGCAATTGATTATTAGAGCAATTATCAAACAAAATAGGCACAAAAGAAGGCACATTTAGAAGCAAACTTCTGCAATTGATTATTAGAGCAATTATCAAACAAAATAGGCACAAAAGAAGAACCCAATGAATTCTGCAATTGATTATTAGAGCAATTATCAAACAAAATAGGCACAAAAGAAGAACCCAATGAAGTAGAATCATCATCTGAACCACTGGCAGAAACTCCATGTGAGGAAAATTCATCATTCCTAGCAATTCTGGAGGTAGCTCTAGCCAACGCCGTCATAGGTTCAAGATCAACAAATCTGGAGCATCTCCTAACAAAAGTCACTTTTGTAAGTGAGTCCTCAGGAGGCAGAGAATTCAAAGGTTGAATCATAGGGATCTCATCTTCCTTCTCTATATTATCTTCATTAGACTGTGGAATTAGGGAAGAAGGCCAGTTGATTATATCCTGATCCTCATTTAATATGAGAGCTTTGCCTTTATCTTCATCAGAATTGATTCCCCCCCCCAAATCCCTGTATTTTCCTCATCTTTAAAGACACCACCCAACTCATCATGCTTATGTGTAATATCTTCAGAAATATTCTCTTGTTCATAAGTATCTTCAGTTACATCCACCACTTCTTCTTTTTCTGGAATTTGCTCATCACCACCCAAATGAGTCTTATTAATCACCCAAGGTTCCCAAACAGTTTTTTATTTTTGATAAAAATTCTTAGCATCTGTCCAAAGTCTGGCAGCAGGAGTACCCCATGGAGAGTCTCTCAAATCTTGTCGAACAGTCCAAGAGGTATTTGTTGACTCAATATGCGAAGAAGATCCAGATCCACTATTATTTCTTCCTTTAAACCATTTATCATTATATGAACTTTGAAAAGTACCTTCCACCTGATCAACCTTTTGCTTTTTCTTTTCTCCATCACTAATTTCACCCATGATAGACATAATAGCTATGTCTACATTGTATTGATTTTTTCCCACAAAGATTTTTAACTTTTTAGGAATATCAATATACTCCAAACACTTCACCAACATAACTGCATCTAAAAATTCTGTACAAGCATTTGTAAGAGAATCAAGTTCTACTAGATCTGCAAAAGGTTTGACCATTAACTCAAATGATTCCTTATTCCACAAATGTGGAGGAACATTCTTCAGTTTAATCCAAACACAGGAATTTCTTTTTTCCACAACATTTCCTTCCCAAGCACTCCATCTCCCGAATTTAATCTTGCACGATCTAAGAAATAATTCCCATCTTAATCAAATCTTCCATTTGCTTCCATGGTTGAATTTTCACTAAAACTTCACCATTTGTGAACAGTCTAACATCCCAATGTTTATTCATAGGAAAAAAAAGCTCTAAGATCCAGTTCTAGCCTTTCTAGTGAAACATTACCTCCCTCAACAAACGAAACTATTGCAAAGTTTCTAAACTTTTGAAAACCAGAATTTACCTCCCCCGCGAAATTGAGGACCGCTGCAGCAAAACGAGGGTGATCACTTGAGGTTTTAAGTTCTGCTTCCAAATCTCCAAAGTCCCTAGGACCTTGATCTTGAAAATTCAAACAAGAATCTTGCAATTTTTCTTCATCCACAGTAGAAAGAGGCCTTTTACCCTTATTCAGAAGGGGATTGGCAGAAACTTGCTCAACTTTTCTAGAAGACGAAAAGGTAGATACCGCTCTCCTCCATTGCCAAGGATTCAAGCGATCAGATCTCCCAGGATGACCTCCAGATCGTCCACCAGAACCTCTTCCTCCAGGAAAATTTTGACCTCGACCTCAACCTTCAAGATTCTGACCACGACCACCATTATTATGACCACGACCACCATTATCTCGCCCTCTATACTCAGAGCCATGACCAATGATTCTAGATCTACAATTTCTCGCCTCATGCCCCCAATTCTTGGCATCTGAAACACACAATTGGATCTCTGCAGTCCTTCGTCATATGATTTGAACCTCCACAACGAAAGCACAGTCTATTTCGACGAATAAAATCTGCAGAAAGAGAACGAGGACGAGGAGCAGCGAAGGTTTTTAGGGGAGGCTGAGATCTGGGGTTCTTCTTTACCACTTTAACCCACTCACCATCCTCCTTCGTCGTTGATTTATCTCGATTATTGGACTCAACAATCTCATCCGCTAAAATAAACTCAACCCTAGAATCATTGTTAACCCTAGTTTCTTTAACCCTAGTTTCCAAAGAATTGGGCTTGGACTTGGGCTTGAGCAGAGAATCAGAAAAAAGAGATGGGTTGGACTCACCCCAAATCCTTTTTGCCACAAAATTGGTAGTTTCTACTGGGCCAATCAAAAAATCCTAAAAAACTCTAAATTTATCCATGCTATTTCTTTTCTTTTTGCTTTTTCTCCATTTTTTTTGAAGGAAAAAAAGCTACATGAATCCTCTCTAATCCAAGTCGAAACAAAAATCAACGATCCTAGGGCTTTCGCAAATCGAAAAAAACGAAGCGAAACCCTAGAAATTGAACGAGATCTCAACGAATCTCGAGCTCGCTCGCTTTTTTCCCTTAATACTGGACGTCGACTCAATTTAGATCTATATCAAGAAATATGGAGTCATTGTTAGATATCTTACATGTATTGTACATTTCTTGACCCACCATTGTAATTATTTAACGGCTTTTCCTGCTATCTAATTAATAATAATCCCAAGTCTACACCGGGATTTGCACGAAGTTCTAGGAAAAAAAACATTTTGGTAATGAAAAGCAGCCAACCTTTCTCGCCACCGCCTTGTATTTTGAAGAGTACTCCCCATGTATGTTTTTTATTACTAAACCCCAAAAACTTTACGAGTGATTGCACATAACCCTTATTTTATATCACTAAATCTCACATGAAAATTTAATGTTAATCCCCATAGATTGATTTAGCACCATCGATTCTAGCGAGGTACTTAAAAGCACACGACTAAAAAAATTTGAAACATTCCCCCTTAGCCCCAACCAAGTTTATTTTATTAAAAAGGAAAATTTTAGTGAGAAGTGAGAATCAATGGTAATTTTTTGGGACTAAAGAATTATTTTCATCGTTTTTTTTCTTTTTTGGCACCTGCATGCCACATGAGATGTTAGAATCGATGGTGCTAATTTAAAGATTAAATGAGAAATAATCATGTAAAATTTAGTAATATTAAACATTCTAAAAGGGATAAGTGCAACAACTCCTAAAGTTCAAGAGGGTTTAGTGTAATAACAACATTTAGGGGGTATTGCAACTCCACGAAAGTTCATGTGGGCTTTCAGTAATTAAACCTTCTTTCAACTTTAGTATCCCCCCCTATAAACCAAGAAGAAAGTGTACATGAGCAGAGGATTATGGCTGTGGAGTCTACCATAGGAGCGAGGGACTACATGTAAACAATCCAATACTTATATGCACATCCATTGAGCTGCAAAGATCAATAATGGATATAAAAGTTCAACAAGCAACAAAACATCACAAGTTTTAATCAAAACTGTCACATTAACACCCCTCTGTTACTGAATGAACCCATTTTGCTCAAATCATAATCAAATAATCTCGCTTTCAAATCCATATTGAAATTTACTAATTTATCATCTGAAAACTTCACAAACATTATTTGGCAAACATATCCAAATTTCATATACAATGCTATGAAGCATGCCAGAGAAATTTGAGTTGATTTCCTCTGGGTTTCATGTTCCATTCAATTAACTTGCATATATCCGTAATTTGAATGTACGAGAGATCTTGCGCAAAATTTAACTGATCTGAACAATAAAAGCTTCTTTGAGATCAGCAAGACCCAATTCACAAATTTGTACTGAAACGAACGGATTAATCAGGATATACAAACCATTAACAAAACCCATACTTTTATTTTCTTTTCGTTAACCTCAGAAGTTCCACCCATCAATAGATCTCAAACTAAGGCCTTTCCTCGAGTTCACCTGAGCTGAACTGACTCCTTGTCCACGATTGACCGAATGCAAAAATAAGATACAAATTGCTTGAAGGACGCGGCCGTTTCATCCAGCACCATCACAATCTTTACAAATAATTTTTAAGTCATATATTGAAGGGTTATTTCTACATAGGCCCCCTGTAGAGTTATTATTTTGCATTTACTACCCCTGTAGTTTCACTTTGCACATAGACCCACGGGTTACATATTTTTGGCTCTTTTACCCTTATGTGAAAAGTTGGATGATGTTTCTCTTGCAAGAAATTAGAGGGTCTATCTGTGGACAAAAAGATCACAAATAAAAAATAAAAATAAAAAAAAACCGGGGAGCCTATGTGTAACAATGAACCAACTACAGGAGTAGTAAGTGCAAAGCTTCGATACGACAGGGGAGCATGTGCAGTTAACCGTATATTCAGTCTGCATTTGGACAGAGAAGAAGGTCAATAATGATCATTGAAGATTCTGGACGCTCCCCCTCTATAAATACAGCTGAAGAGAATATCAGCCGCACAATAATGATCATTGAACGATAAGACCTTTCTCTTCCCCTTTTTTTCTGCGGAGAGATGGATAAACTAACTGTAATGTTTCGTCCAAACTGGAACTGAGTAAATAAGAGTTCCTATAGCAAATGAAGGTAGGATGGTTGCCATAGTGTAAGCTACTGCTCTCCCACTATGTCCACTCTCTCTCATTGCATATACTTCGGCAACGAAGGTAGAAACTGTGCTCATACAGCCAAGGAAACCCAACTGGACCCCACTCACAAGGATCGTGCATCTTTTAGTGTCCACCTGAAGATAACAATATGCTAGCTTTTTTAGTGAAGGGGAAATGCAAGTACTTTAAATTGTTAAAGCTCGTAAATTATGAAATAAAGAAATAAAACCAAATTTG